GTGTGTGTGTGTGTGTGTGTGTGTGTGTCTGTGCGTATGTGTGCGTGTGCGTGCGTGTGCGCGTGCGTGTGCACGGTTGCGTGTGTGTGTGTGTGTGTTTGCGTGCTTTCTTGCGTGTGCGTGCGTGCGTGCTTTCCTGCGTGTGCGTGCGTGCGTGCGTGCGCGTGTGCGTGCGTGCGTGCGTGTGTGTGTGTGTGTGTGCGTGCGTGAGTGCGCGTGCGTACGTGCGTGTGTGCGTGGACATAACCACGTCACTGAAGTTTTCTTTAGGTCGACTGCAGCCGTCGGCTATCGTAATTAATCGTAATTAATCGTAATTAATCGTAATTAATCGTAATTAATCAAAACGGTCGCAAAATTAACTGAAAGATTAACGCAACGTGTACGTATACCTGCGTGTCATTTTTTCACATGTTAATTATGCATCAGGGTTCAAGGTCATCATATAACCGCCGAGGAAGAGAGAGAATAAGGGAGGGGCAGGGGATAGAGAGGAAGAGAGAGAATGGGGGGAGAGAATGAGGGAGGGGCAGGGGATAGAGAGGAAGAGAGGGAANACTCTCACCTTCCTTCGCCTCACTCTCACCTTCCTTCGCCTCACTCTCACCTTCCTTCGCCTCACTCTCACCTTCCTTCGCCTCACTCTCACCTTCCTTCTCGACCACCATATCTAACCTCCCTTCTTCCTCTCTTCCGTGTTACAGAGAAGGCGCGGCGGCAGAAGTGCGGCGTGCTCGTGCACTGCCTGGCAGGTATCTCCCGCAGCGTCACCGTCACCGTCGCCTACCTGATGCAGACGCGTCACATGTCGCTCAACGACGCATACGACTTCGTCAGCAAGCGTAAGAGCAACATATCGCCCAACTTCAACTTCATGGGACAGCTGCTGGACTGGGAGCGCGCGTTGAGCTCCAGTCCCAGTGACTGCACCTGTTCGCCAGGTAACCAATCTTAATTAAAATGCGGTCGTTTAATTAATTACTTTATTTTAGTTTATTTTATTTTATAAATTATAAATACAATTAGGCCGTGGCTACGGGTCCGGTTACCGGTCATATATTTCTTATGTGAACCTAACTATATTTTTTCAGTAAAAAACAATAAACAATAAGTTTTTACCATAATATTACTTACCTTTAGGTATTTTATCACAAAAACGTATTTTTGTAACTTTTGAAGCAATAGTAAATCCAGTAAAATCAACGATTTGAAATCATCACGTGGCCTAGTCGTGACGTGGATTTGGGAATCTGTGCTGAGCTTTGTAATGGATGACCGGCCGCGTAGCCACTGCGATAAAATTATTATATTTATAAATTTGAATTTTATTTTTTTATAATTTATAATTTTAATTAAATTAATGAACTAATTAAGTCCGTGATTAAGTAAACTTACTAACACTCTGGTGTGGATTACCTTTAAGTGTTCGTAGGTCACATACGCTAATATAAGCTCATTATTACGCATATGTACGTTTATATACTTGTATGCACTTATATATATATATACGTCTATATGTGTGTATGCACTTATATACATATATATAAGCCTATATACGCTGATAACTTGATGTAAACTTGATTATTTTGGGGGGCACTGCGCGGGACGGTTGTAAAAGTGATGTCTTCATAATAATACACACGTTCATATCTAGATTAGTATAACTATATTATATATATAATATATATAATAATATAGTATTACTAATATTAATATAACGAAATAATTAATAATTAGCTCTAACTCTTCATCTTGTTGAATGCCCATCTAACGTCAGCGCCATCTTGTGTCCGTCTCTGCAGGTAGCGACGGAGAACAAGTGTGCAGCTGCGGGCCGCAGGGACAGTCGCATTTTGCTCAGTTCAACTCGGCGGCAAAGCTTGCTGTCACCCCCACCTCACCACGCTGGTCAGAGTCTGTCAGCGTCAGTAGATTCTCATAGTGCGGCTGGAGGAGAATAAGGAGGAGGAGGAGGAGAAGGAGGAGAAGGAGGAGGCGGTCAGCATGAGAAGGTTCTCATAGTGCGGCCAGAGGAGGAGGAGGAGGCGGTCAGCGTGAGAAGGTTCTCCTCGCACGCTCCTAGGTGGCGCTGAACGATGGCCGACTGACGGACAGTTCTCGGAGCTTCGATTCGCCGGATGGTCGGAAGTGGAGGACTCAGTCCGGAGGGGTCCAGTCCATTCTTGGTCGCTCACTGTCCGGAGGAGTCCAGTCCATTCCTGGTCGCTCACTGTTGCTACTGCTGACGCTACTCTCAGATGTCGGCCAGTGGAGAACAGTCTCAGAGGCGGAGAACACTAACAGTCGATGATCATTTCGAGTCGGACGAGATACGGAGAACACGGAAGGGAGCTGCTCACAGATGGCAGCACTGCTGGAGTTTCTGGCGCCCCCTGGTGGTGGTTGCGTTTGTGATACGCGAGCAGCAGGCCGCGGATTCTGTGGCGCCCCCTGGGAGAGGACGAGCTGACGCAATACCGGTGGGCGTCCGTGGCGCCCTCTGTGTGTGAACTTGATAACTTTGGCTATGTGTGTCGTCGAGAACCGAGTGAGAAAATTTTGTAAATATCGTGCACTGCAGGCAGGGGCAGTGAGGTAGACACCCTCTCCCCTCTCCTTGACTAATGGACCCTTCCCACTAATATACTTTGTCACTGGAGCAGTCCATCAATCGAAATAGAAGAGGGGGGAAGGTCGGAGGTGAAATCACAAATGTAAATATCGAACGATTTTTGACAATAATTATTGTAATACGGACAATTGTTATTTTGATAGAGAGAGAGCGCGCGAGATATAAACGTTGATTTTTGTAAAGCAGAGTTATATAATAGCTATGTGTCATACATAGTGGTGCCTTATCAAGTCTCTTGCACGGTCACTAACACGCACTCTAGCGGTCGCTGCGACCAATGATTCTATATGAATGCTCACTTGTTGACGAAATTTTTTTCAAAAGTGAAAAATATGCTGGTAAGCGATTTTGAAACTTTGTTACAGATATACGGGTTTGTGGGTTTGCCGTGCACTGTCAGCAAGCCTCGTTTGCATTATGAAATTCTCTGAGATTCTAAACGGGAAACATTCGGCCGTTAGAAACAAGTGAACGTTCATTTTTGAAGCACGTCTGTACTGTGGAATTGTTCAGACTGAGTGTTGTTTTGTTGTTCGTTGTTTAGAGCCACATATTGTGTACAGTTTGAACCGTGGAAAAAACAGAGATACAGACAGACAGACAGACAGACAGACTGACTGACTGACTGACTGACTGACAGACAGACAGACAGACAGACATACAGACAGACAGAGAGAAACAAAGTGAGAGGGAGGAGATATACAAAGAGAGAGAGAGAGAATGACAGAGAGAGGGGGACACACTGAGAGCTAACCACCACTTTGCGAGAGATCTCACAAATACGTCTTGAACTTTTTATACACTTAGAGAGCTAGATGGGGGGGTGTGTACAATCAAACTACTTGTCAGACGTCCGAGCCTGCAGGGCAGGCTCTTTGATCGTCTGCCAACGTTGGAAGGAGCCATCTCGAGAGGAGGAATGGGGGTGAGGCAGAGAAGATGCGCGCCCTCAGAACTTCGAATAGCTGCTGTTGCTGTCGCAAATTTCGCCTCGGAGAACGGCAAGCTGTGCGCATGCACAGACGATAGCTCACGTCCGTTCCCCGGAAACGGGAAGCGGTTCCTCCTCGACAGATCTGCTCACTTCCGGCTCACGCGAACATTTGCCAACTTGTATAACATTCCTACTCGTGAACGTCTCCCTGGTGCGCGCGCATGCGCAGAGAGACTGCGCTCGTCGCGCCACCCGGCACTGGCTGGAACAGTGCGCGCTGCTGCTCAGAGCTTGTTTTATTATTATCGCTAGCTAGTTACTCGTGTTGATTGCTGCCCGTTGTTGTTAACGCCCGGCGCGAGGTGGCGCTGCGGTGGTAAAGGAAGTGTCTGTACAGGATATGACGTCACGGGCACGTGATGACGTGACGCGGTTGATTATGAGTGTGTTACAGTATATAACTGATCGGTTCTTCCACCACTCCTTTCCTCTCACCTAACCACCTCCCAACCTCTCCTCTCACCTAACCACCCCCCAACCTCTCCTCTCTTACCGAGTCCTAGCCCTGCATCCTTCCTCCTCCCTCCTCCCTCCTCCCTCCTTCCTCTCTCATTCCTGCTCTCTCCTTTCTCCTCCCTCCTCTCTCATTCCTGCTCTCTC